TATTGTAGAGATGAGGTCTCACCAAGTTGCCCAGGCGGGTCTCAAACCCTCGGGCTCAGGCAATCCACTCATCTCTGCCTCCCAAAGTGCGGGATTACAGGCTGAGCCACCGAGCCTGGCCAAAAAAACTTTAACAGCCATTTCACAAACAGTCAATAAGCATGTGAAAAAGTGTTCAACTTCATCACTCACTGGGATGTACAAATTAAAACTATAATGATATACCATTATGCACACAGTAGGACAGCTTAAATTTAAAATTACAACGCCAAGTGCTGGTAGGAATGCAAAATAGTAGATCCAACCCAAAAAATTGCTAGTGATTTCTCACAGTCAAGTACAGGAGGTAGGACTACTTTTTTTTTTTTTTTTTTTGAGTTGGAGTCTCACTCTGTCACCCAGACTGGAGTGCAGTGGCCGGGCTGGGCTCCAGCGATCCTTCCGCCTCAGCCTTCCAAGTAGCTGGAACTATAGAGGCGCACTACCACGCCCGGCTAATTTTTGATTTATTGTAGAGATGAGGTCTCACTAAGTTGCCCAGGCGGGTCTCGAACCCGCGGGCTCAGGCAATCCACTCACCTCAGCCTCCCAAAGTGCTGGGATTACAGGCTGAGCCACCGAGCCCAGCCGGTAGGACTACTCTTATCCCCATCTTCAGGCAGAAAAACCGAGGCCAAAAGGGCTGAAAGGACTTGCCCACAGCTCTGATCAGAATCAGGACTTCAAGAGACAATGCACGGGAAAGCATTTTATAAAACTCATATTTGGAAGGTGGCTATCACTGTTATTATTATGATGATGATGCATACCACAGACTGACCAGGCTGCACAAGGGCAGCAGACACTTGCACCTCCAGCAGGACGCAGCGGGCAGTAGGATAGGCCTGGAAGTAGAGCACGACTTGGGCCTGGAGAGAAGCTGTGGGCAATGGGACAAGGGTCAGGCCTAGAGGCCTCAGGCAAGGCCCTGGCCAGGGGCAGCTGGGCAAGCCGGTTTCTCCTCACCATTTCTAGGCTCCTCAAGTTCTGCATCTGCTGCTTCTCCAAATGTTTTCTCATCTTGAGGCTCCTCCCAGTCCCCTAGAAGGACCCAAGAGCAGGCCCAAGTGAGGCCCCCTACTTGGGCTGGCTTTGGGCTTGGCTTTTTTCCAGAAAGTTGAGTGCTAGGAAGCAGCAGCCAGGCCTGGGGAGATCAGGCTGGCCTGGGGGTCCTTCTGCCATGTCTTCTAGGAGAACACTGAGGTTGCCCACTGCGGCCTGACAGATTCCCCAGCCCTCAGCCCACTCCAGACAGGCTCACATGTGCACACGCGCAGCTGCAGGATGACTCGCTCACCATGCACGGCCAAGTGGACAGTCACACGCACACAAAGGTCACAGTCGGTTTCCTGGCGGCACCTCAGCACCAGTTCTGTCTGCAGGTGTGTAGGCACCAGCACGGGGCCAGAGGCAGGCACGATGCTCCCCGGCAGGCAGAGAATGTCGCCGTCTGTGTGTGAAGGGAAAGTGGGAGCTGAAGCTGTTCAGGACACAGTGTGGTGACATCTGACACCACTCGGGCTGCGGGTGGGCAGGGAAGGCATGGGACTGGGTTACCTCCCTTTCTTTCAGCCAAACTGGGAAGCTCTTTTCTCTCTAAAAGTAGGGATACTCACCCCAGAGGTGGCAGGAAAGGCCCTGGGAAAGAGGGAAAGGAGCGTCAGAGTTACCCAAATCTAAGCACCCTTCTCTGCCTGAGATCTCCACCCACCCCTTTCTGGGGCTCCCTATTCCAAGCCCCTCCCAGAAGAAGATAGTTCTTGCCCCTTCCCCATTCTTCTCTTCTCCCATCACACCAGACAGACCAGCCAGGGCAGTTCTGACGGTGGCAGCCGTGACAGGAGCCAGGAGAGGGCTTTACTGTGCCAAAGACCAAACTCTGAGCCTTCCCCAACCCTCCCAGGGCCCCAGACTCACCGGAGAGCATTGGGTGGCGTCCTGAGGCCCCACAGCCCTCTCCAGAGAGAGGACCATGGGGCTTCGGCCCAGTGCCAAGGACAGCAAGAACCAGGGCACAGGCATCTTCCAGGTGCCAGGCGACACCCAGGCCTGAGGCCCTGTCCTGCCCCCCCGAGGGGGGGGGCAGACACCCTACCCCTGGCCCCACTCAGCCCGTGTCAGTGGGTGACAGGGGCTGAAATCCCTCCCCAGCCTTCCGGGGTCCTAGCGCTGGATAGCTTGTGCACTCCCTCTCCTAGGAGTCCTGACTCTCATCCCGGTTCCAGCCCGGAATGCTTTCGTTTTGGCTCCCAGCAGGGAGCCGGCTGTTCCCGCCCCTTCTCCGTCCCTCCCACACCAAGCCTGGGAGCCAGCAGCCTGGGACTAGGGTGGTGGCCTTGCTGCCTCCTCCTCCTTGGGCTCTCCGCCTCCTTCTCTGCAGATACCTGGCAGGGAGGGGTCCCTGAAGAAGGGCGGAAGTGTCATGGCTGAGTAAGGGAGCTCTTACTCACCCTGGGAGTCCCTAAGGAGGAGGACTCCAACCTAGTACACTTCAGGGCCTGAGTAATCCAGGGGCATTTCCCCTTCCCATGTGACCCTTAGACACAGGCCCTGGAATCCCAGGGCCCACTGGGTATCCCTTTACTGGACACTCCAGATCCCCTCACACTCTTCCCTAGGCCTCAGTGACCCTTTGTGGGACAGGCTGGGCATGGTGGCTCACGCCTATAATCCCAACACTTTGGGATGCCAAGGTGGGAGGATCACTTGAGGACAGGAGTTCGAGACCAGTCTAGGCAAAGTAAGGGAAACTTCATTTCTTAAAAAAAAAAAAAAAAGTTTTAAAAATAATAATGATAGGGCCAAAGGGCAACATAAAGTGAGCTTTTCACCACTGTCTTGCCTAGGCTCAAGTGTGATATGGGGGAGAAGGAACCCAGGACCCGCAGTCAGGCATCCCATTTGTGCTGTTGCCATGAGCTAGTTGTGTGTCAATGGACACATCACCCAATTCTCTGTCTTTTCCTCTCTTCTCTTAAGGAATCACAGCGAGGATCAAGGAGACTGCCAGGCCCTTCTTTGCCTTTCAGAGGCGTTGCTTGTGGGAATGTGAGGGATGTGATTCAGGTGTGAACATGGAGGCTTTGAGTCACATACTAACACGTGACAACCCCCAGGCAAGGTCCTGCTCTAGAGGAGCACCTTGTATTTTTTCATTTATCTATCACGTTCGCCTTTATTCATCTTTCATCTTTCTGGATATTAGTCTTCTGCCCCCCCTTGTCTTGGCCTCCCTGAGCCAATGCCTCTTTTCCTGGGCCCAGGGTCCTCCCCTTTCATTCTGGACATGGCTTCAGTACGGGAAAAGGAATCCTGGCACCCAAGAGGGTTTTCTCCCCGCTCCCACCTCTCGGACTCACCAGACTCACCCTCCATATGTATTGACATGGCCCCTGCCTGCCCTCCCTCTGCCCAACCTCCCCAGCCTGGAGCAAATGCAGACTGCTCTCTTTCTGGGGTTTTGAACGGAGGAAGTAGGAAGATGGGCCTCCCCGTCAGAAAAGCTAGAAGCGCTCTCAGAAACGAAACTCTCTCTCGGGAGTCTGAGAGGCAGGGAAGCAGGACACTCGTCGGGGATGGCTGGGACTCCGGGGATGAGAGGTCAGGGTCCTCGGGAGGCATCCCAAGGATTTCCGGGTTGAAGGCGGTGCCCCGCGCGCCGCTGCCGCACACATCCGAGGCCGCAGTGGCGCTCTGCTCAGCCTTCATGGGACAGTTCGACGGCCTCGAGTTCCAGCCGGCGGCACAGCTCCAGGCGGCTCCGCAGGCGCAGCCTCGCCTCTAGGCGGCCCCAGCTCGTGGCTTCGGCAGGAGGCCGCGTGTCCAGCGCCCGCAGGAGGCGCGGCAGGTCGCGCAGCAGGCGGTAGCGCGGCAGGGCGCGCAGCGGCGGGGGGATGTCGCCCTTGGCGCAGAGGC